CTCTTTGTGCTGGGAGATGGAACAGCAGAAAAATAAAGAGATTGCCTAAATTCCATCTCTTCCCTGCAATTGGCTGCGAAGAAAGAAAAAAAACTGAAGTTAAATGTTATATGGTTGATTAGCCATAATGGGCGGGAGAGAGAAAATAAATAATAGAATAAAATATGCACCAAAGGTATTAGGCTTAAGGGGAAGAAAAAGAAGAAGAGCTTTGACGCACTGTTAGGAATCATCTGTTCAGGGAAGAGAGACTTCAGTGGATTTACAAGTGTGTCCAATAGCTGTGGACCTACGGCCGGAAGATTTGAATTTCCTGAACTTTGACCCAACTGGTATGGTTGACCAAGCCTCAGCTCAATATTTGAAATTGCAGCATCCCGGAAGGCACCATCCTTCGCATTTACAGTTCTGCAAAAGTTTGACTCTTTACCCATGATTCTTCGATCCTTTAAAGAGGGGTGGGTAATAGATGAATTTCCAATTTTCATGGCGGGGTAGATAATGGATGAATTTCCATTTTTCATGGATTCAATGTAAGCAGAAACGGACTGACCACCATCTTGCAGTCCACTACCAACCAATTTTGACATTGACATAGGGCGCTCCAATATCAGGTTGTCAGCCATACCATGAAAATTGCTCTGTGGAGTGCCAGTAAAACCTTTGAGAAAAATGGTGTTACCATCCTGAATGTTCCTTTGCTGTTTATTTTCTACAGCACCAACAACTAAATTTTGGTTTGTAAAAAGGTTCTTTGATAGTGCAACACCATCTAAAGACTGTTGAGAACTTGCTGAACCTCCAGATGAACGAACCATATGAGACAAGTCATTGGATATGTTGGGCATAGACACACTAGATTTCACCAAACCGGCAGTTGTTGATAATCCTTCAGGCCAGTCCCATTCACTCCGATCTCCCGGAACCCTAATCTAAAGCATCATAAAAATATCACGATCCATTGTTGTCGTTGCTTCAAAGTTCAAACACATGCAAATAAGAAATCCAATTCTCAATTCAAAAGACAATGATAAATTAGTCAAAAGATGGGGGCAAAGCATTGTAACTGACAACATGGCAATAAATTTCTAAGCTCAATAACTATGGTTCTATCAAATACAACAAGGAAAACACCACCATTTCATACTCACCTCACCCCTTTACCACTTAATCCAAGGCCCTAAGGGTAAGAAGGTAGGCACCCGTGTGGAAAAACCTAAGAATACTTACACACCATTGGATCTACCTTAGGCAGAAAAGAGTTCATAAAACTCCTGATTCATAAACTTAAAGCAAATACTATTTTTCTTGTGGAAAATGGTTATTCCTTTTCTAAGTAGGACTGTATATGATGGGTCTAAGTAAAGTGGATATGATTGAGGTTCCTAGAGTAAACACCTGTGATGTGATCTTACCTACAGGAATAGTTCTTTGCATCACACACACCGTCTACACACACACAGAGGGCAGACAAACCCACTAATGCGCCCATGCATCTACGCATATGTAAATAAGCATGCATGTGCTTGCACTTAGACATGCACGCAAAGGTGCCCGCACAGAGAAATAGGGCATAAAGCAATAGGGAAAGTATTTAACATGAAGATCTTACCCCAGAATTTAGGAAGTAGAGCTTGCACCACTGGGCAATGGTCTCTCCATTGTCCATACAAACAGCATCCCCTGGGTTGACACCATATAATCCTGAATGCTACAAAAAAAAGTTATAGCAATTTTTAAGCAAAATTACAAGCCAAATGCTTTGCAAATAGATATCACAATTAGCAAAGCTGTAGCATCATGGAATGACTAACCTACCTCGCAAAATTTCAAGACAGACATGTGGAGACAATGGCATGAGCAAACAATACCAACAAGTCCTGTATTGCTGAGAAGTAGATAACCACCTTTTCAAATAATAAAAATATCAAATCAAATTTCAGAAGAGTATCAACCAAATAGGGTATCGATATATTTCAATAACAAGATCAATGTCCTTAAAGCACTCACTAGTAGTCGAGCAAAAAACACGAGGGCAACCATTCATAAAACTCGATGCCTGGTTAGATATAACGAAGTTTCCTTCCACTGGCAATTTTTTTGAAGTTTGAATATTTGCTCCACAAGCCTTCCCAGTATCTGCAGGGCTAACACCACGCCATTCCCCACTCAAGGAAAAAGAACCCTTTACTTTCTCACTACCCAGGACCATGTTACGGGTGACTACTTTGGCTAGGTCTGAACTCTGCAGATCGTGCAAAACAGAATTGCTCGCACAACTGGAACTTGGCACTGACCTTGATGAAACCTTAGTACAAGAGGCTGCTCCACTTTGCAGGTTTTGCCCACTAAGATTTTCTGACAGTACCCCACTGGATGTCACTGGAATGGCACTTCCAATACCATTCACTATAAAATTATTACTATCAGGCAGAATCTTACAAGATGTACTAATAGGTTTTGGATTTGATAATTCTTGGAAATCACACTGGAATACTGATGGTGACCCAGATAGAAGAGCTAGAAAAGAATTTCCCGAATTGGCATGTTCTGATCTGTGGGAACCTGAATACAGCTTGCTGGCAAGTAGGGGATCTTGTAACCTACCAATCATTGTGGGTCTTAAATCTTGTGAGCCATGTGGATAAGAATAATAACCTGTATTGGTCTCCATCTTTATTGCAAATCAAAATCCATTTTAGTAATGTGAGAATAAACATGCCAAGGTCACAATATAAGAAATTTTAAATGCATAGAGGAATAAACATTTTCACAATGGTATATAGTACAACAAACTAATAAATAGTCAAAGCATATATGGGTTTCATGTACATTAGAACACAGGTCTGTTACAGTCAACACTGTAATTTTAAACCAAAGCACGATATCTCAGGAACACCATTACACCAATGACTGCCACCTTCACAACTCCATGGACAAAATTCAAAATTGGTGCCACAAGGATCATTTCATATGAGATGTTGTTTCCACACCACAGGTTACTGTCATGATTGATAATCGCATTGTATATGCACATTCCTTATCCTAGCAAGCATGCACAAATACACATTTTTGTTCCAAGGGTGTAATAACATCAGAAAATCAGAATTACAGTTACTGGGCAATGAAGCTACTAGAAGCATAATATCCTAGTTAAGAAATATCTAATTATAATACTGTTAACACACTCATTGCCAAGTAGAGATCCTTTGGAAAAAGAAGAGAAAAGTTTCACTAAACAAATTTTTTGATAACTAATGTAGTAGCCCCTTCACATTGTCTTAAACTTGATCATTCCAATATCTTCTATCAAATGCACTATATACACATACTACTTTTTTTCTTTTTTTTCTACACTGGCTGAAATGTGCTTTCTCTGACATTTTAACACAGCCATCTCAATGTACAACACATTAAAGCACAAGAATCAATCAACAGCAACTACAAAGAAAAAGTAAAGAGAAATTATCATCAAAAGGACACATAGTACCCGATTCCGATGCTCCTGAGATGAAGAGGAAGCCATTGACAGTGCCGACGACTGCAATGTCGAACTACATTTGGTCTTCCACGAGTTCTCCATCATTCTGAGCTCTCAGAACCCTAGCCTCCCTCCATCAGAACCATCAAATGCAGCAAAACACCTCCCAGAAATGAAAATCGGCGATCAAAGACCGATTATGTCCTTTAACGGCTACTAAGACAAGGTCACGGCGGTCGAGGAAATCGGTGAGGTCAAAAGCAACAGAGAAACCCTAGGTTTCAACGGAGAGGGGAGAGGGTAGAGAGTAGAGAGAGAGAGAGTTGCAGAGTAGCAGAGTAGCAGAGGAGCTGTGAAGCTTTGAGAAGCAAAAGCCGAGAGTTAGAGAGAGAGCATCTCTGGTGGTGTAGTGGTTCGAGGCAGGGGTTAACATGGCACGGACACTCACACGTCGACGCGTGTGCTGGTTTAAACAATTTTGAACCGTTAGATTTGCTGGTTGGTGAAGGGTGGGAGAGCGGGGCGATCTGGACCGTCGATTGTGAAGACAGCTTGGATCCGGTGGTTTGCATTGGTTGGGAAAAAAAAACGCAAGGGTCTTGTTCTGGTCAGATACCGTAGTGTCACAAGGGCCCACGAATACACATTAAAAGTGGTGGATACGTGGGAGGATACGATTGGTGGGGTAGGAGAAGGGTTGGGGACCACCGAAAGATTATGTTTGTGTTTGGATGAGGGGAAGCATTGCAATTATAAAGTCTCGTCCAATTTTGGGGGTGGGAAATCCAGGTCTTGGATTTGGATAACCTTTTTCATCCGAGCATGATGCCTAAAGAGACTAAAGACTAAAAATAGTACTTTGTATCCAAGTCATTTTTGGCATGCATTAACACCACTACTAAAAATTTTAAAAGTTGAAATCTTAAGAATTATGGGCGAAATTAGAAATTTTCACCAAACTTGAGTAAGGTAAGGGGTTAGTTGTGATTTCAGGTAAATAGGGTGAAATCACAATAAAATTCAAGTAGGCGGTTGCATTACTCGTACTCATAGTATATGTAATGGCATGTGAATTAGTACAATATGAAGAGGGTTTGATTAACAAAAGCGAGTTTTGCTAACGCAAACACAAAGAATTGCTCATATATTTGAACCTTTACAAACATAAAACACACTTGAGTTTACTTGAATTTTGCAAGTAATATCAAGCTTTGTACACTTTGATATAAAGAAATAAGATTATTGCTATAAGCTCTGTTTGTTTTTCGAAAGGAAAATAAAATATACACGCAGCAACTATAGTGGAAGAATTGAATTGAAAGATAACTTTAATTTTTTTGAAACTGGGTATGCCAAATTGGCCCGGCTGAAAGCCCAAAGTGTTGGGCCGACCATCATTTGACCCCTAGCCTGGGGCTGATCCAAATAAAACCGGCCCAATCCGATCTTTCTGAAATAAATTGGGTTGTAAAAAGGGATTCTAAAATTAATTGAACAAATGTATACAAGGAGACACAGGTTCATACATAATACAGCCACACAATTTAAATCAAAGAAACTCGTTCAGGTGTCTATTCCAACAAAGATGAAAATCCCAACATTTGTAAGCTAAACTAAATAGAAAGCGTAGCAAGGGAAAAAGAAAATTTGATTCACAATTTTCTTATCGATCACGAAGTCGTGGCTCGATAACTCATCCATCGACCATGTAACTTGGGAATACAACGCAATTGCAAGCATTTATTAACTTTGTTCTTCTACTATAAACCAAAGTATGCTACATTTCTATAAAGTGTTGTGCCGAATTTCACACCCGCAATCGGGTCATGTGTGCAACTGAATTCGAGAGTGACATGGGGTGTGCAACCCAAGTTGATAGTGAGACATGACAACTTTCACAAACATTTTCATAAGTGGCATCTGTACCAAACGGCAGCACAGCTTTGTATATACAGGCTCTCTGTCTACGTCAGCTCCAACCAGCTCTTTTACCTATTCCCCCCAATTTGGAATGTTTGCTGTGGCTTCATTGACCATTCTCACCAGAGTCACCTGTGTATGTTTAAATTTTTTTCTACAGGTCAATGAGATGAGATGGAATATGCAGGGGGAAAGCTCAGAAATTTAAAGTTATTCTTTTTCTTCCCTTTTTTGATTTCTTGGTAAGATTTGAACCAATTGACAACCTACCCCAACCACATAACACCACTTATCACTAGAGCTCAAGTGCAAGCGGAACTGGGTACTGGTACACTAGTTCACATAAAATTTATCGGTCATACCTAAATGCTAAGCGGCACTAAATGATTCTATATATCATGTTTCAGCAATTTTTTAAATATCTGGCCAATCTCTTAAACCAAAAAATCTCGCCAGTTATATCAATTATTTTCCATTCACTAGTGTAACCAATTATGCAGCCACACTACTACGTGAGATGATACATACCACGCTTTCTGGAACACCAGCCGGAGGCATAGGAAGGTTTCTAGGCGGTGCAACACTATCGTAAGATCTTTTGTCAAATCTCCATTCTCCAATCTTTCCGTATGTTAATTCACCCTGATATCAGAAGACAAAATCAGACATTATCAGTCAGCAGCCAAGCATTGCACAAAAAGAGCTGCTAGCTCTCATTTCTTGAAAACTGAAAACAGATTGGGCATTTCATCAAACTGTCAGAAACAAAAAATTTCCCCATATTCTTCTCCATAGACACTGCACATTAAAGTACACAAGTGCTTGTCGAACAGGTACCTTCATATTATAGTCACAGCCATAAGTGTAATGAATTATGAACTTCTTGCCAATCTCTTTATCCCATGGAGGCTGATATACATCAGAAAAACAGTAATACTAGTAAGTTAAACGGTAGCAGAATCAAACTTTGTAAAGCAATCAATTGATCTTGTAGAAGGTAAGAAATGGCTACATTTAGAATCACATACTAACTTGCAATTATGAAGACTATATATTATAAGGAAAGAAACGGGGAATAATATCCCAGCTAAACCTGAATCATGAAGTCCTTGTACAAGATATTACCAACACCATGTAGAGCGGATGCAACAGCATAAGCATACCTATATCATGATGCAAAGTTAGTCAGGAAGCTTTTTGATAACTAAGTTTAAGAAGTCAGGAACATGCTGTAAGGTCACCAAAGAACTAAGCTAACTAGTGAGAGCTCACATTTCAAGCACCCAACCAAAAGCTTTGTCTGTTTCAGGATCCTTCTTCATTGCCAAAGAAACATTCATCCAGGTGGGAGCAATCTTCTTAAGAGATTCCTAACAATGATGGATTTAAAAAAAGTCAAACCACCAGAAACCTAAAGAAAACTTATTATAACTGAGAGATGACAAGTTTAAATACCTTCCCAACAATGACGGGAGAATTTCCAATAGGATCAATGTTAGTTATTGGTCCCTTGTTCTCAGGGAAGTATTTCCGGAGTACTGACTCGTACTTTTTAGGTTCAATGTAAAAGAAAGGAAATGCAGCTCCAAGCCCATCAGTGGACAAGTTTGGTATGGGCTTGACAATTATATGATCTGGCTCAGACATCAGTATATAACTGCAATACATGTTAAGAATAGCAGGATATAAGTCAAACCTAACAAAAACACTGAAGATGATTGATTTATTGAATTCAGAAACTAGGCAGTGAAGCATCTCGTACTCTTCTTTGATGTCTGCTTGCTGAAGCCATTGTACAAATGCCCATGGTCTATTCAGAACTATATAACCCTGTGATTACAAGATGGGAGGTAAGCAACGATACGAAGGTAATTTCTAGTAAGATGACAGTTACAGAGGATTTATACTCAATCACCATGAGAACTTATCCATTTCTTTCTTAAACAGGCTGCTTGAAGGAAAGTTTAAATTCTTTTGGGTTCTGTAATTTAAAACTTTAGATTGAATAATATATATCATGGGGTAAGTTCATGTATAACAAATATGCCTCACTAAAATAACAATGTCTCCAAAAGCAACAGCTCAACTTGAGCTTAATTTAAATGTAACCTGAACCAAGCTACTCTGGCTTTTATAAATCACAGCGCTCTAAATTAGCATAGTTATAATTTCTTATTTTGCTCATAAACCCTTCTTATTCTGCTCATGAACCATAACAATGTTAAGAATTAGAATCTAATTTCTTCATTTGCGACATTTGTTCAACAACCCAAAATACCAAACCAAAGAACAATCCTCACCAAAATAAAAAAAAATATGGAAAATAAAAAATTCAATTCAATTAACACCTTCCAGAAAAAATAAATGGATGAACAACATTCATAAATATACAAAAATAAAAGAAGAGCCAAGCATAGAAAGACCAACCCGATCCATTCCAGCAGGCAAAGGCTGAGCAACAAAGGTTGGGATCTCATCCATGTACTTGTCAGGCTTCCCAGAGTGCAAGATCCTAGTGAACCCACCCATCCCTGAATTGGGTTCGTTCTGAAACTTCTTGAACCAGTAGTACATGATCCTACACTGCCACGTGTTGTACACAGAGTCGGAGGCTGTCACTGCCGTGTGGAACAGTCTCTTGGAGCTCCCTAATTTCCCTCTCGATCTGTGCAATGGCATCTGGATTATGGGGTCCACAGAAATGGACGACGACGATGATCTTGATGGGCCTGGAAGGTCTTGCTGGAGTGGTGAATTGGCTGAGATTATTATGTTGTATGTTATCAGAGCTACAGAGAAGGTCACAAGTATCGTGAAGAAGAAATTTCCGCAACTCATTTTCGTCTCTCTCTGAAGCTTTCTCTCTCTAATTCCTGTTTTGCTGTTTCTCTGTGTCTGGTGAAGAAGATAGAAAAATGGCGACTTCAGAAAGTCGTCGTTGTGTTGTGTTCATCAGTAGCGGGTGAAGAAAGTGGCTGGCTGGACCATCTTTCTTGCCAAACATATTATTGGGCCTGGGCCTTTCGTTTGTATGTTAGTTAGTTAATTACTTAGAGATGCCTAACAAACAATTATTATCTTAATGAACTTCTCGGTGCATTCAACAACTCAAGGTCGCATTAAGAAAAAAAATAATTCAACAACTCAAGATAGCATCCAAAATAAATTATTGTGTGGTAATGTAGTACGGGATATAGTCACGTATACACATATTACAGTATGAATAGATGAGTTTGACTCCATTAAAGATTTTTTTAAAAAAAAAATACAAGCGATTGTCTAAACTATTAGGAGATGGAGTTTTTCACACACACACAACCAAGATACTATGGGGGTTCAAACCTAAGACTACTAGTCTGCAAGTCAAAGTCATTTTGCACTAGGCTAGATCCCGTTAGCCCATTAAGGATTTTAAGTTAAAGATTTATTAACGACTTTTAATCTTAGTCTCAGTCATTGAATTGCATCTGTGGATATTAGAAAAATATTTAACTCACTAACTATATGTACACGAGTAATGCTACTCTTTACCACATTTGTATACAAGGTTCCATACAAACTTAACTAATTATAGAATTTCTTAACAAATTCTTATGAAAAATCTTTATTATTGGAGAAGCTCCCCGAATGGATTAGTAAAGTCAACGTGCTATACAAAGGGGTATTTTTTAAATAATTCTATTTTTTTATGTATTACTAATCAATAGTTAAGTGCCCCGGAAAAAAACAAAAAATCAATAGTTAAGTGCACTTAGTAGTCCCTTGAGTTTAAGAGAATGTTACTACAATGACCCAACATCAACATCGAGAAGTATGGGAATACTTTTCAGCCCCAACAGCCATTGCAGCAATTAATCATTGAAATTTTTGAAAATGAAATTGTGCGTATAGGCAGGCATAAAGGGTCATTCTCATAAATAAGTATGGGAAAGCCACGAACTAAATGATCCACCAGAATCTTTGGTATGTGATATGTCACCTCTTGGTCCATAAATTTTGCAACAGAAGGCAAATTAGCTTAATGGAGCCACACACATCTAACTTTAATTTTTTTAATTTTTTTTTTTAAGTTTAGGAACTTGGATATAGCCCTGAAAGAAACTCAAGCATTAAGTATTAACTTAGCACTCAGATATTTTTTCTCATTGTCTTGCAATAGTTGTTTTTATTGTTTGCAAGAGCCCTTTATGGATGGGATGGGACTATGTTCTTGTAATGCCATTTTATTAATAAAATTGTTGCGGCTATAAAAATAAAAAACTAAGCACATGTGTAAGTACTAACTGGTATTTATTTAATATGTACAAAAATCGCAACTTTATGAGGCAAACAAAACACTACTTATAAGTTATAATTAATTAAAAATATACAAAAATCCTAACTATATAAATTGAAGGCATACAGAGGAAATTGACACATGCAACTCGCGAAAACAAGTTAGCAAGCTACCGATTATGGGGGGAGAGAGAGGAAGCTGAGATAACCATGACGTGGTTATCCTTCGGCTGGCCCATTTGATTGCAAAGCAAAGGATAAATCCCTTTCCCTATTTTCATCATCCATCTGACTGGGTTCAACAAAGGAGAAACGTCAATAAATCTAATTCTCCCATTTTATAGAGCTTCTCTCATCTATGAAATTTCTAATTTATAAAAATAAAAGCATCAACCAATAAATGAATGAACTACTAAAGTATTGTTGCTAACCATATTAGTAAACTTGAAGATCAAGATTTCACTGAAGGATCACGCTATCTCTCAACGGTTTCCCTTACACGAGGGAACCGATCCACCCATTGAGAATATCCTGCAACACGTAGAGAAGTAAAAATCAGGCTTCTTAAAATATATAAGGGTGAGAATTCTTGCTTCAAGGATGATGGTACTAAAAAATTTATCCCCCACCCGCAAGAACAGATGAGTAAATTTTCTAAAGGTTCCGAAGAAACAAACCTTGTGTTACAATCTCAAGAAGATCCATTTCTGATTTAGCAGCATCAGACATACCCTACAATGAAGTTGACAACGTAAACAGAGTGGTAAGATCCAAGCACACTTCAATTTGGCTACAACAATTAAAAACTCTTGTTCAATGAGAAATAACAATGTGCTGTATAAACCATCCTACTACTGGCCAGAAGTTGGAGGCCTAACTGCCTCAGTCTCTATCTTAAACATGTACACATACATATAAATATACATAAATATTGTGTACATATATGTATATATAATATGCAAAGCATATCACATCATGCAGTATACCTGTCCCCATGAAGCCAGACTTCTTGCAATGAGCCGAGACAAACTATCAAGAGTGCTGTCATCAAAGTTAGGATGCTTAAGAAGAGCCTTCTCTGATGTAAAATCAAATAGCAGTGCGCATATGCTTGAAGCCATCATAATAGTTGACGGGTCATTTATACCCTCTGAAATCAGTGTACAATAATTATTAAGATGCAGACCTAATGATATTTCTTTTGCATGAAAGAAAGCTGAAAATATAGGAGGTTAGAGCACACGTAGAATGAAAATGGATGCTGATAATACAGCTCTAAGCTCACTATCAACTTTGAAACAACATAATGGGCCCACCACTGATAATGAAATACTTGAAACAAATAAACAACCCCTTAAAAGTAGGGAATCTGTAAGTTAACCCAAAGATAAAAAATGAATCAGACTCCAAAGACAGAAAGACATAACAAGAAAGTGAAATTAAGACAGTTTGGCAAAAGAAAGTGAAATTTGAGATTGAGGTTTTCTAATGCAAAGACAAAAAGATGTTTCCAATGTTTTTTTGGTTTTCAAGAAGAAAAAAAAAAAGGTTTTTTGGTTCCGTTTTTCTGGATTTATCAAGTCTTTTGCTCCTGAAATCACATATCAGGTTTAAGAGTTGAGAGTAAACGGGGTACTCTCCAAAATGTAAACTAATTTCATGAGATGAAAAAAAATGGGGTACTCTCTCTCCAAAACTTAATGCTTTTAAAAGATGAACTGGATACCTATCCAATATGATCTTAATGCAACACCAAAGGCACAAAGTATCAACATTATTAATGTTTCAAAAACGACAATACCACTAGAGCAGTACGGAAACCAAAGGATATCTGATTTTCACAACAATAAGCCGTTACAATTCACGTATTAAAGGTAAAGGAAGTCAATAAAATAGTACCTGTCCAATATGCCAACGCTTTCAATAGATTACCAAGAGTTGAATCATCCAATGGGATTTGCAATTGCTCTTTCTATTTATGAAAAGAAAAATAAGATGTTCATAAGTTGCATATAATAAGTAATATATTGGTATAAAATGATGATTACCCTACCTTTAAAAGAAGATTCAAGATTGTGTCACATGCCAAAAAGATGCAGCCATTATCCTTGACCATATAACCATGTGGCCCAATCAATTTTACAAGGCAATCAACAACCTGCAAGTAGATTTAATATGCTGCTGAATTGCTTTTGTAGACTTACAACATAAAAATATAAAAAATTCGAGACTACTTGAATATGCTTGTTAGGCCATTAGAGCATGTCCACCCATGAAGGCTAAGGCAAGGCAAGGGCTGCCACTATTCACATGAATAGTGGCAGCCTTGCCTTAGTTGGTTCCCATGAAGGCTAAGGCAAGGCAAAGGCAAGGCAAGGGCTGCCACTATTCACATGAATAGTGGCAGCCTTGCCTTAGTTGGTTCCACCCTTGGAAGGCTAGGGCAATGGCAAATACTATTCACATGAGATATGAATAGATGAATTTGTATAGAGTTTTTGGTGTGGGAAGTAAAGAATATGCCTAGGTATTTATTTAAAAAAATTCTGGAATTTTTTGTATTTTTTTCCCTTTTTTTTCAAATTTTTTTGGTTGCTGACGTCATTATGACGTCAGCATTACATCATCCTGCCCAGGCAGCAGCTCGGGCTGAATTTGCCTGTGGGCTTGCCTGGGCTCATGGGACCCAGCTCTTGCCCGGGCTGGATTTCCTACGCTGGAGGGGGAAATGGGCTGGCGAGGGGCCTTTTGCCCAGGTAGGGCTCCTACGCTGGAGTTGCTCTTACACAAAATAAAGGCAAAAGGTCACTTTTGGTCCCTGTAGTTTATCACTTTTACCACTTTGGTCCCTGTCATTTCAATTTGGTCAAATTTGTCCCTGTAGTTTCAATTTGAAGCAATTTAAGGACAATTCTCAATTTCTGTCAATTTTTTTTAACTTCCGTTAGTTGTAGAGGGGTAATTCGGTCCACAAATTATTAAAATAAGAAAAATAATTTTAAAATAAAAATAAAACATCTTTCTCCATTCCTCCTCCCAACCCCGATGCCCACCAACAGTCCCCACCCCAGCCAACCCCAGCCAACCACCACCTCCCTGTAACCAACCACCAACCTAGCCACCCAAGCCTGCCCCAACCCTTAACGATACATAAACAGGCCTCGATATAGCAAAATTGTACAACCACGATTTTGCGCCTTTTCACAAGAACCACCAACACAGCAACCTCTCTATTTACCAAAACTCTAAGCCTCTGTTAACATTCGCTGTTTCAAAATTCAAAAAAGCTTCAAATTTTCAAATATAAAAAAATAAAAAAATCACAAAGAACAAATGTCCCAAACCCAAACCCCTAATTAATCAAATTCACAGAGATGAGGTTTTGATGTGGCGATCGGTGTACAAACCCCAAAGACCACGACATCAACGCCACCCGATCACCCAAAAACCGTCGTCACCATCAAAGCCATGTGCCCACCGCCATCATCTTCGTCGTCGCGTTGTTGATCTCCACTGCGACTTGGCTCTCTCTCGTTTTCTCCGGTGCTCCTTAGCCCTTCCCTGCCCCTCAAACCCTCACTCAATCCCGCAATCGCAGCCTCTCACTCTCTTAACAACAATAGCAACGTCGTCTGGTTGGAAGAGAAGCTCCCCGAAAACAAAGTCGATCTTCCCTTGCCACCGATCATGATTTTCCGAGGACATATCACGATTTCGTTTGAGGTTGGG